TCATCATTGTCGGACACTTTCGCTTGTTTTTCTGTTCAGTCCCGCCTCTTGGTCAACTTTGAAAACAAATTTACTTTTCATTTTTTACCCACCCACGAATAGTGGGCTAAACCACGTGCAACCCTTAACTTGGTTTGACACGGTCGATCGCCGTGAGTTTATGGCGTACGAACAGGCTGTATACATGTAGCTTTCGCTTTGACATGCTGCTCAATTGAGAAATAGAGATCAGAATTCTATGAATTCAACTCATTGTAGCGAGTTTTTGTAAAGGTATACCAAAATGGGACCGGCCAAGAAGTACGTACGGTCACTACTCGACACCCCTGTTGACACCTTGAGTAAGGCTGCCGTCACCCATTGCGTCTCAGCAATTGACGGACAGTAGGTGTTAAGTTGTCTCTTTAACGGTTAGTTAAAAATACTATGCCACGAAACATTAGTCTTTGTACTTCAAAACTGCTGTCAAAACACAATAGAAATTTTGGGAGCCATCCAAGTACCCGCGACTTAGCCGAATCGCGACTTACCGAGGCGCGACTTAGCGAGGGGCCACTGTACTAAACTTGTTATCACTTTATTTTTACACCCAGGCCTGTAGCAAAATTAGATAAAATAAGTTTTGCTTCTCATCCTAGGGAAAAATGATGTGGTGGTGCGATTATTTTTTTTTTTGTATTAAGATTTTTCAATACCAAAACAATAAGATATATGTTGAATGTTTAATATTTTTAAATAATATTGATTATCTGCATTATAAAAGTGATACCAGTGCATTTATAGGAAGTGTAATTTGAATGGCTGCCCATCTATGATGCATACAAAGTTCACCAGATGTGATAATAATATGTGCTGACATTTTACGTACATGATTGTCTGTGTTATAAGGACTTATTACGGTAACAATTTGATTTGAATAAACCAGTGATAGATAGCCATTTTGAAGTCTCTCATGGATGTTTAAAACATGCCTTCTCGTCAACTTTTAGGTACTCTAGTACCCTGTGAATTCCAATTATTAAAAAGAGTCATTTTGCTGAGCACTCATCATGGAGTGTGAATTGCAAACTGAAATTCGGTTGCTGTCTTTTTGCATATTCTGCTTCATCTTAATTGACAGTTATGATTTAAAATGTGTTCATTAGATTGATCTACGACAAAAGCTAAAACTTGCCACTGAAAAAGAAGAGAAAGGTAAAGAAGCAAAGGATCCGGAAGAACCAGGTATGCAACAACCAGTTTCATTTCTTCTCTCCGATCAATGATCTCACTTAGAATTCTTTGAGAATCACACAAATCTAATGGGGAAAAAGAATTAATTTTTTTTTTTCTGCCCTCCTCAAAAAAATTGCCTTATAAAAACTTGAGAAACAAGGAATAAAAAAAGTCTGGCCTAACTCATATTAAACCTTGCACCGTTCAAAATAACACACATTTTTCTGTATTACCGGTATATGTTTCAACAAGGTACTGTAAACTGCTTAATTTTCACTGCTAGAAATGTTTGCAATTTGATGATTTTTTAACATTCGTGAAGACAGAATTTTGCAAAAGTCACATAAAATTAAAGCTGTCTACAGTGTCAACCATAATGCACGGTTCCTCTATGAAAGAGAGAGTGTGCATAGCGTATTTCTATATAATCCTTCAGTTTTGTAGAGTTGTGTATCTCATATAAATAGGTGAATACTAATCTGCGCAGCTTACTATACAAAACAATGACAGTAACTATCTACCCAACAATGATCAAGTTGTTAAATTATCAGTTGACTAGAAACAATTTTAATATTACTGAGTTCTTTTGTGCTATTGCAGTTACTATATGTCATGAGAAAGCTGTATTTCTTTTGAAATTTGCTGGTCTCAGCAAACAAGAACCCAAGCAAGAGGTAAGGCATTGTTATTTTATTATCACATTTCTTTAATTATTTTTCTCAGTACATTGTGAAGTATAAAGTATTAAAAATTATTATTATTATTGTTTTTTTGTATGTGTAGGAGATAGTGAAGAGTAAAAGAAACTTGATGAGAAGTCTTTCATATCAAATCCGAGGTCGTCTACCATCGCAGGATTCAACGGAGAGAGATACAAACTTGAAGGTTAGTATTTTGATTGGCTCTCTAATTAGTTTTCATTCACCCCCACAAAGCCAAAGCTTGATCCATACCTCTGCTTTTTTTTTTTTTTTTTTGATCCTTTTCATCCTACACCAGGACATAAGGCTGCAATCAGGTTCTTCCATTCCTGTCTATCCTTGGCCACCATTTCTGCTCTACTCCAGGTCAGGTTTGCTTGGGCAAGTTCTGCGGTAATGGTTCTTCTCCATGTGGTTTTTGGCCTCCCTCTGTTTCGTTGACCCTGTGGTGTCCAGCGAAGGGGATTGAGTCTTGTGGCATTCTAAGAACATGGCCCAACCATCTCAGTCTTCGGCTCTTAATTTCAATAATAATGTCCTTAGAATGTGTTTGCCTATAGAGATTTTCATTGGATATGATCACTGGTCAGAATATTTTGCAAATTTTCCTAAGGCAACTATTGTGGAAAGATGATAACTTGATCATGTCGGAGTTTGTTACACGCTAACATTCGGATGCATAGAGAAGAACAGATTTTACATTGCTATTGTATAGCTTGAGTTTAAGCTTCTGACTGTATTGGTTGGATTTCCGAATTGGATTTAGTTTTATGAAGGCATTCCTGGCTTTGGCTATTCTTGATTTGATGTCTTTACTTGTGCTGTCCTTTTTGCTTACATTACTGACCAATACCTTTGCTTCCTAATATCAATATTCTGTATTTGTTTGTAGGGTCGGTACATTATGCTGGAGGAAGAGAGTGTGTACGAGAGATTCCCATCATTCAAAATAATCATGGACTTTGTCAAGAATGCTACTCTCACCAAACAAAGGTAAGAATGTATGATTAATTATGGGCAATATTTTACTATATGTAACAAATATAGTATGTTTAATAGGAGATCATATTATATACAAGTATTATTTTTTGATCATGTCAATTAATATGCACAATAAAACCTAAAAATTTCTAACATAATGTCCCATCGGCTGCAAGTCTTGATTTGATTTTTTGAAAAATATGGAAAAAGTTGACTTTGCAGTAATTTATTTCATATACCATCCTTGTAGTAAATATTAGTGTTGAATAATTACAGGGTACACAAATTGCTTGATCAGCGCTGTCACAGAGCTCAAGACCTGGCGGATGTATTCATGTTTGCTGCCGAGTTCATCAGAATCAACGCCAATCCCCATTTATTCCAAGTTCCTAATGTACTCTTCTTACAAGAAATGCTTGGCACTCAGAACTACTTTCCAATGTAAGTACAACAGCAATGTAACATTTATGGAAATGAGCAGCAACTATTATTAAAGCGGGGGTGTTGTCACCTGCGCCATAGTGTGTCATTGGTTACAAACAAGCGTCTACCCATGAGCCTTTGCGTTTTTAGCATTCTTGTTGTTATCATCGCTTGGGACTCAATTCCACGTGTACGCAGGTGACGACCCTCTCGCTTTGAATGTTGGGGTGAAGTTTAAAGGATATTGTTTTAGCCTGATAACACTTCTGTGTCCGGGCCATTTCCATTCTGTGAGGAGTATTATGACACAAAGTGCAACTGATGATTTTCATCATTTTAACTTTCTTATTACATAATTTCTAGTGACAAATATGTGCTAATTACTATTATTTGTTTTTTTCTTTCTCAGTCATTATGCAATTCAACTTGAAGGTTGTGGCTTAGAACTTGAAAGCAGAGTGCGTAGGTCGTATTATTCTTTGACAAGAAGACTGGTAGATGCTGTCACTACATTTGATAGAACCACATATCCAAGGCAAGTCTTTCATCCTTTTACCATTTTTGCTTTTGAAGTGTAGATATTTGTTTTTAATGTCACTCTTTACCATCTTACCCTTCTCCTTATTTACTGTGAAATTACTGATTTACCATTTCAGGCATATTCAGTGGGTTTTAAATTCACAGTTTTATCATTTAGATAATGTGTTCTATGCTAAATTTTACACATTCACTGGGTTTTAATTTAAAGCATTTTCCAGTCAGCGAAATAAGCAAAATTAAAACCCAGTGAATAATTAATCCTTTTACAGTACTCAAGGTTCCAGGACAATCTTAATGATGTCTCAGGAAAAATCAAATTCTTATTTTCTTACCATATTCTTATTTCAGATCCACACAATCAGCATATGAATGTGTGCAGGCTCTATTACTTCATTTATTAGACATTGATTGGCAGTTGTATGATCTACAGTTTGTAGCTGATCTCAAAATACCTGCACTCCTGCTTAATATATCAAAGCGTAAGTTAGTGTTATAGTGTTTCTTATGATTGTGCCATTGTTATTATAAATAAAATAATATCTATTGTATGTTAAAAAGCTAATAAACCAGATTTCAATCGAGCAGCATCTGCAGATGACAGTAATGCTTCAACAATCTACTTCAACAATTTATTTCATATTTGATCTAATTGCCGGTGACACACAATGAATATTTGCTCTTTAACTGCAGTTTTTTTTATAAATATTAAAAACTGTCATTGTGCTGCGTTATATTTTATACCACTTGTAAAGACATTTTTTATTTATAGAGAATTTGAAAGTGCCCTACTTGACAACTGATGTGTTAAAGTTGGACTTGGCTCTAAAGTAAAATTATGAAAAAATGTTTAATTGATAGAAAGAAAAATGACATACTTTGCAGTATTCAGTCAGTTTGCTACAAAATTTAAGAGAGAAATTTACAGATATTTGCATCTCAGTTTGGCAGCCAAAAAATCAGTTACCAAAATTTAATGTTTTTGTTTATTTTTCTTTTCAGAATCTGTAAGTTTACGAGATAGTATTGAGAGTGGTAAAGATCATACTGAAGAGTTAGAGATATACAAACAATGCAAATCATGGTTAGCCTCATGTACTGAAGAATTTATGCAGTGGTATACATTGGTTGAGCGTGCCAAAGGGGAAGAAAAACGGGTAAGTTTGAATACACTTATTTGTTTTTAAGTAAGCAGGTCATATATAAAATGATACCAACAGTATGATGGTTGATGTAGGAATATGCAAAACATCAAAGAAACCAGAGAGCTTTCACAATTGACTTATTTACACCAACAGTACTACTTTTTACATATCCATACACTTGGGTGATCAGGTGGTATATAACATCATTACAAGAGTTTGTATGTGATGCATAAAATAAAGTAATCCTGAAAACATTTATATAATCATGTAGCGACAACTTATTACTCTATGGTTACTATACAAAATTTAACAGAACACTGTTTTTCTCATTCATTCCCATCTTATCTTTCCCTGTGTAGGCAATACACATGTTTGTAGCCAGGTATTGTGACATGTTGGATGTGGAAATCAAATGTGATGGTTGTGCTGTCTTGTTACCAGGACAACGTTATCGATGTTTACAATGTGAAGACATGGATCTGTGTAATACTTGTTACCTGGGTGGTGTCAAACCAGATGGTCACACAGACTATCATGAAATGGTTCACCTCATGTAAGTTGTAGCCACATTTTTCTCATTAAGAAATGAATAGACTAAATTTGCCATTTGGTACAGTTATTGATCAAAATATATAAAAAAAAGCAAAAATAATTTTCTAATAACAGAAATTCTGACTAGCACTACACAGTTAAAGTTTGAATAGACATTTTGATAAAATTTGATGATAGACCTGATTACAGGATTGTTGCATCTAATATTCAGATTCAGCCAAAAGTTAACTAATCATATTGTTATGCTTTATGAAAATCAGTTTTGACTTGTTTTACAAATTTGTTATTTGTTTGTCATTTCATGTGTTATTTTGCAGGTACAAGTGTGATCAGTGTCAGGCATTTATTGTGGGAACCCGTATACATTGTAATGTCTGTGAAGACTTTGATCTTTGTTATGGATGTTATGATGCCAAGACATATCCCAACAGGTAAACATACACCCTTCAAATACATATCCTGATATTTATCCCAATCTACCAAATCCCGTTCTATATCTTAATCCTATTTATAATATTTGTTATAATATACTTGACTGTGAATGTTTAAAATGAATAACAGTATTATGTATATATTTCATTTCTTTTCATAGTCACAAGAGTACCCATGAAATCACTATCATGCCACTGAAAAAAGGTAACATTTATACCAACTTACTCCTGGTAAATCACAGCTAAATGGATGTACATGTTTTAAAATTACTAACAAAAACACATAAATCTTTTTAAGTTCAATGAAAATCAGAACAAATTTTATAGCAGTGAAAATTTCACATACATGTGTAGAGGGTCAGGGACTTCATGAATGCCATTAAATTGCAAAAATGCAGTGTAGCGAAAATTAAGCGAATTACACTATAAAATGAGGATAAACAACTTTGGTATCCATGCACATATCAATGGAACACGTTTTAACCAATGGCATAACAGACTGCAGTGGATGCTTGGAATGGTTGTCCATGGTCTCTACAGAGGTACTGGACTGTGTATTGCTTACAAAGCAAGTTTATTGCAGAATTCAAAAATGCGTATGCAAGGGCACAAACAGAAACAGCATAATGCTAATGTATTTATTGCTTTCAAAGTAATATACACTGAGTGCTGATTACATTCTCATTTATAAACTTTATCCATACCCAAAGTAGTTCAGTTGTAAACCACCTTTATATTTCTTATTGGATTGCAATCTTGGTATATTCAGTGTTTTCAATTTGTATATTTCAGTGAGTAATACCAATCAGCTGAGTACACTACCAACTTACCTGCACCACCATTCATGGATTCAGTTTGCTGCGTTGGCTCTCTCATTGGCTGATATGATTAATAATCCCAACGCAACAGGTAAGTCTATATTTAATTATCCAAAGGAATTTCTCTCATGATGATGATAGAGGGTGCTATGCAGTGAAATGAAATATTTTGTGAATAAATAAAATATATCAAACAAATCCGCAGTGGAATTCACAGTCAATCATATGGTAGATAAGAAACTGATTTAGTGATGGTGGTTTGATGAGCTCTATTTTATTCACAGTAAATGAATCATAATTTATACTATATATTCAGTTGGATATATTTCAATTTGTTGTTTATTTTTTACTCTAGATATCAGCAGTGAATATTTACACGTCGCTAATCATTTACATGAACAGTGTATAGAACTTGTCATTGCGTCCCTCACTCATGTACAAGCTGCCACCCCTACAGGTGAGTGTAGAGACCAACATGTTTCTGCTATGTGTGTCAAGGGAAAGCAATTATCTCCATTTCCATATAATAATTAATATAAGTCATTTGTCTTTGCATGCTTCAGTTTGTTTTGGCTAATTTTTTGTGCACCATTTTTCATTTTCTTATGGTCCGTACATATTTAAATTTGATATTCTTTGTGAATTTTAGACTAAATACCATTTTTCATTACATACGGCTTTTGATCATAATTGTTGAAAATATTTTTGAATAATGATGCTAGTTTGTTTTGTGAAGTTTTAAAGTGAAGGAATCGTCTGCTGTATACACACAGGAATTAAGTCCTAAGCAAAATTAATAATGCACACTAAAAATGCAAAGGCTCATGGGTAGATGCTTGTTCGTAAACATCGGCACGCTATGGCCATATTGCCGCATACGCAAATAACGACTCCCCGAATTTAAGAAGACAGTGTTTTAAAACTTACTGTGTTCATATAAACCTTTGCATGTAGATGTGCTTTTAACATGTAATAGAAATAGAATCTCATCACCCTACACATTCAAGCAACTACAAATTTGTTTCGTTGGCTGGTATCTTATATCAGCTTATTACGACAAGCAGAGTAATGATGTATAATGATACAGTTGTCATGAGTACCTGTCTGCACTCAAACCGTATGTTCCCTGTTTTCAGTAGAGAAAAAGGAGAAAACTACGAATGCTGATGAGAAAGATATTGATGAAGCTGCTGCAAAAGATAAACCTGGAGAGGAGGCATGTGAACCAAAGACTAAGAAGCTAAAAAAAGAAGATGAACTAAAAACTGAAGGGAAAACAAAGGCAGGGGAAACAGTAGAGGAGATGGAAGAAGATGAAAAAGCAAAAAGTAATAAGTAGTATTTTATTTTGGTTGTTAGCTCTTCATGATTTCTAATGCAGACGGGGTTGCAGTATTATATAGTGCATTTGTTCTAGTAGAAGTGTGTGTCCAATGGAAGCACACACAAAGCACACCACCACCACGCAATCAAAGCTAAGTGACTTATGACATTGTATGGTCCTATCTGGTAAACCCGCCGCCATGCAATCAAAGCTGACATATGGCATTGTATTATCCAATCCGGTTATCGAGTAAACCCCACACCACCACCACCACGCAATCAAAGCTGGCATTGTATGGTCCTATCTGGTAAAATCTCTCTTTATCACAACACAATCAAGCTGACATTTGATTCTGTGCTTTTCTTGTCAAGTCAAGTAAAACTGAAATCCGATTTGTATATCCTCAGATGCTTCTAAAGACGCTGCCGAAGTAGTTTCTGAAATTGATGAATCCAAAAATAAAGTCCTACTTGCCCATGAGGTAGCGTTTGCTGAATGTTCTCAAGAGAGGATTCTGGGATTATTGGGCTCTATGCTGCCACAGGTAAGATTTTTAGTCATAAGCCAAATTGTTAAGTGTTAAAAATATCATAGGAATAGCTGATAAGAAATGCCCTCAATCAAGGTATGTAAGGGGTCCAAAAACTAACTCTGTGACGCGAATGTCGATTATTGCACTCTGCGAAAGGATCGCAGTGTCACTCTGAGAAGCCATCTCTTTGAAGCTGCCACCTAAGCATGTTACACTATTTCACTTTCCTAGCCAGCGGTGTAAATCATGTGACATTTGTTTGGTCCCACAATTTGTCTTCCATGTGCTTGCCGATCATCGAAAAGTGCGGCATGTCGTCGGTACCATGAACGTTCATGCCGGTACATAGTTTTTTTACTGTAGTTCGCAAGCAGTCGGCGAAATAACTTAATTTTTCTATAAGGCATGCGGTGAACCCTTACACTGTCAATAAGAAGTAATATGGGCATCGATCAACCATTGGTATTCACGCTTTTCGACCAACCAATCAATGGGAATCATGCTCTTCCCAGAGTGACACTGCAACCCTTTCGCAGAGTGCAATAATCAACATTCGGCGAGTCGCACAATCGCGTCGCAGAGTTAGTTTTTAGACCCCCCTTACATACATGCTCAATCGGACATACGTGTATCACAAGGCTTAAGAAAAGAAGAATACTGTAAAATATTTGATCTGCCAGAATGTTTTTGTAATTTGATAACTAAAATTCACGAAGTCTGTGTAAAATGAAAACAGTTTGCTCTACCATAAGCATTTAAATAGCACCATGTATCCAACCATTGAACTGCTTATGTTGATGTACTTTCTACTACTGTAAAGGGGTTAATTATTCACTGGGTTTTAATTTTGCTTATTTCGCTGACTGGAAAATTAAATCTGCTAAATTAAAACCCACTGAATATGCCTGAAATGGTAAAACAGCGAAATTTTAAACCCAGCGAAAATTAGTCATTTTACAGTATTATTTTCGTCGAGCACAGCTTGAAACAGAAGCTAGTGTAATGAATGAACTGTTTTCCTGAGTGGATGTGTGAATATAGAACACTTTCACTGCTAATTTTAATCAAACTTGGTATGAATATCACACATGGTGGGTTACTATGGATTGTTTTATTTCACAATTAGAGAAATAATAGTGGTTAATAATTTGAAGAATGTATTAGCCAAAATAGATATTATCTGTGGTTAATAATTTGAAGAATGCCTTAGCTAAAATAGATATTATCTGTGGTTAATAATTTGAAGAATGCATTAGCCAAAATAGATATTATCTGTGGTTAATAATTTGAAGAATGCATTAGCCAAAATAGATATTATCTGTGGTTAATAATTTGAAGAATGCCTTAGCCAAAATAGATATTGACTGTGGTTAATAATTTGAAGAATGCATTAGCCAAAATAGATATTATCTGTGATTAATAATTTGAAGAATGCGTTAGCCAAAATAGATATTATCTGTGGTTAATAATTTGAAGAATGCATTAGCCAAAATAGATATTATCTGTGGTTAATAATTTGAAGAATGCATTAGCCAAAATAGATATTATCTGTGGTTAATAACTTGAAGAATGCATTAGCCAAAATAGCTATTATCTGTGAAAATAATAGAACAAATGTTTATAATGTTTTCTGTTTCAGAATGGTTCAAGTACAGTATGTGCTCAAGTGATGGAGAGTTTCCAAGTGAACACAATGTTACCTTTGTTATTTATAGTCGCAAGGTGAGTATGTTTATATTCTAGTGTGAAGCATTATAATCTTTCGACTTGACTACTGTAAATGCACTATTTTTACAGATAAGTAAAATCTGCTAAATTAAATTCATAATTAAATAATAATAGAACTCATTGTTTCCTTCTGTTCATGTTCGTAAACTTAAAACCAAGTGAAATTTTCAAAACATCAAAATAGTAAAATTAAATGTCAGTGAAAATAATTTCCAAATTTCAATAAATCATGCCTTAAAGCATGTAATAAAATCTCAGCCATATGTACGTCAAATTAAACGATGCAAAACTTTCAATTCTGTGAATATAAACAACTTTTACATTTCTTGTATAAGGGTCACAGTCAAGTGTAGGTCAACAATTTATTTAAAACCACAACTGTTAGGGAAACATAAGGACGATTGCCTAGTTGCTGCTCAAATATATTGGTGTTCATAGTTTTTGACCAACTATTTTCCAGGTCATGGAGATTGGTTATGGGTTTTTTCGCCATCTGTACTCTATTCTATTACCGTAGTGTGTCTGTGTTCTCTTGTTTTCTCATTTTCACATCCATTCCATTCTGAAACTCTGATCCACGCCTTGTGTCCGCCTTCTGTGTTTTTCACATCTCATACATACCTGTGTATAGTGTTTGTTATAGTACTTGATTGCATTCTTTGTATAGGGGCAGAAAAGGTCATCATAACAACACTCAGCATCTCGCTGTCGGCTTGTTAGGACAGCTACTAAGAAGGCTAACACCAGAGATATGTGATAAAGCTATTGTTGATGAATTATCAAAATTAGAACATGATTGCACAGAGACAGCTCAGTTTTTATTCTCGTTTGGAGCGTTGTGTCTGGAAAGGTGAGTTTTTTTGTAAATAAATATTTGTTCAGAACATTTGACAATTATTAATGTTTGTCATTCCACATGAGAAGGTGGCATTAAATATTTTTATCCTTTTAGTCAATTTTTATCACAAAAGAAAATGCACATCATTTTATCAAAAATGTTGATCAAGACATGTTGCCATGGGAATTTATATTCATTGAATCTCAAATAGAAAAATACACATGTGCAAAATATTGAGCTCAAAGGGTTAAAATCCTGTGGCTTTAGGGAATAATGTCTGTAAATATGTGCTTCGAAGTACTTGCTGAATTAATACTTAAATCCATTTATGATTTCAGGAGTGGACTTGAGTGGGCGTCTATCATGTCTGACATCCTACAAAGACTGTGTCATTTTCCTCACTGGAGATCAGCTCTAGCTGACAATATCAGTAAATTTTTACAAGATTTGCCTTCTTCACCTAAACTATCAAGTATATTCGCCCTGTTTGTAGTGGCTGGCTTTCCTGAGGTGAGTTCTGTTACCATTCTTGACATGAAACTTTTGCCATTGTTAGAGGCGCTCAGGCAACCCTAGAGGGCACTGTTTTTTTGGCCGTCTTATAGAATAAAAGAGGAGACGCTCACTAAATTCTAGACTTGTATTACCATGTATGTAATTTTTTACATTTGCAGGTGTTATGCCTTGGAACCCCAGCTGTGCATAGAGAAACTAGCGGTGATACTAGGGATGCTATCATTCTCAAACATATTCCAGATGTTGGGAGAGCTATTATTGTTGATGTCAAACTGAGGAAAAGGAAACATGTAAGGATTGAAACATTCATGTGAACTTTGATATCATACTACAAAACTTATAACGTATGATTTCTGTGTTATACACAGCTCTTAATATGTTTACTTGTAAGCATGGGTACAATTTGTCCAAAAAACAAATAAAAAGTTGATATGTTAACAGCAAATATATATATATATATATACATGTTTATTGTGTATGCATTAAACAGTGTTTATGACATGAATCTCGTGTGGTTATCACGTGATTTCGTGTGACGCAGTCTTTAGTTTGTAGCCATCTTGAACAGTTCAGTTTTTTAGTCCAGTGTTTTGATTTTCTCAGAGTTTAAATTTACTTGAACCCTCCACCATCCCCAGTCACCACCGGCTTTGCTTTTAGATGGGCAATTTTCCCCCCAAGATAAACATTGTAATCCTCAATACTGGTTCATATCTCATTGTTCATATCATTGTAGTTACAGCAGTGCTCGCTGTTTCTACCTCATAGCTAACTGATTTCTTTGTAGTTGCAGTCACGCTGTTTCTACCTGTAGAGCTACCTCTACCTACTAATCCTTGTTCTTGTAGAGCTACAGGCACGCTGTTTTTCTACCTTGTAGTTGCAGTCACACTGCTTCTACCTACATTTACTAATTCTAACAATATCATTTGAGGGCTAGTATAGTTTTTTTGAACAATGTCGTTTTACATGCTTTTATTTCAGTTAAATATTTATTTCTCTTTGTGTTTATTCTACTGTTTCATGTCTGGGTGCTCACCGTGTCACCATGCAGTGTGTATCGCCTATTGTTATGTTTCATGTCTGGGTGCTCACCGTGTCACCATGCAGTGTGTATCGCCTAGTGTTATGTTTCATGTCTGGGTGCTCACCGTGTCACCATGCAGTGTGTATCGCCTAGTGTTATGTTCATGTCTGGGTGCTCACCGTGTCACCATGCAGTGTGTATCGCCTATTGTTCGCTGTTTTTTTAGCTCCGCTGTCGACTTAGTCGAGCGGAGCTTATCATATGAGTGATTGTCCGTCGTCCGTGTCAATGTTTTTTTACTTTTTCGACTTCTTCTTGAAAACTACAAGCCTGAATGCTTTGATGCTTGGTGTATATGTACCTTGGGTAGACCTCTCTTAGGTTTGTTCATTTCATGTTGATATCTTCAATTCTCTAATTTTTGTGAATATTTTTGTCATTTTTGGTAAAAAGTGATATTTTCGACTTCTTGTTAAATGCCGCAAGTGCAATTGCTTTGATATTGCATATATAGATACTACATGTAGACCTTTCTCAGATTTGTTCATTTTGTGATGATATCTTCAATTCTCTAATTTTGGTGAATATTTTTGTCCTTTTTGGTAAAAAGTGATATTTTCGACTTCTTGTTAAAAACCAAAAGTTCAATTGCTTTGATATTACATGTACATGTACATATATAGATACTACATGTAGACCTTTCTCAGATTTGTTCATTTCGTGATGAAGTTTTCAATTCTCTAATTTTGGTGAATATTTTTGTCATTTTTGGTAGAAAGTGATATTTTCGACTTCTTGTTAAAAACTGTAAGTCCGATTGCTTTGATACTATACATATTGTTCATTTTCTAATGATGTCTTCAGTTCTTTAATTGAAATGTGCATTGCTAACAGCGGAGCTATCTCAGCCGATAGGCTGCTTGTCTTGTGTAGTGCAGCTTTAATAGGTGGGACACGGTGAGCGTCCCTTATGCCAATAAAATATTTTATACTGAAACTTGAGTGTTTGTGTCGTAAATATATATATATATGTGTGTGTGTGTTTGATAAAGTTCTCATACGATTGCTTAAACTCTACAAGTTTTTTTTTCTACTAGCACTACTGTCCTCGAAGATGACAGAGTGGAGATGTTTATAATAATTGTTGTGATTGTATGTCGCCCTCTGTTTGTTGTTTGTCAACGATTTCATTTTTGATTTCTTGTTCAAAAACTACTAGAGTTACTTGGTATGTTGGTGTACCATGGGGTGACCTCTGTCAGATTTGTTTTGTACCTATTTTTAGCTAATATTGTTGTCATTTTTTTTACAGCAAGTCTCAGAAGTATTGT